TGCCTGGGCGTGAGGTTATCAATGTTTCGGTGTCATAGGAGCTCGTATTTAATAATGGTTGTGGAAATTGGACGCTGATCTCTGCAAGTAGATCCTGTCACGAGGATGACAACTCAATACGAGTCGTCGGCGGCGGATTTGGAGTGTAACGCCCGTTTTGTTTTGCGATTGGGTTTAGGGACGCGTGGGCATCACACACCTGAGCATCACACCACCGAGCATCACACCCTAAACAACATGATGACTATCTTCAGCGGCTTGCAGCATGAGTTCTTTGACGGCAAGCGAAACAAGAAAGAAGCTTTCGAGAGACCTGGCAGGTATTACTTCGAGCACCCTGGTTTTTTTGAATCGTTCGTTGCCCACCACGAGTCCAAGGGTGAATGGTCGGTGCGAGTTGGTAAACTACGACCCCAGCCAAGCCGAGCTAACAATAGAGGCTGGTCGCTAGGCCGAGTATGTTGGAACCAATATTTACAGACAAAAACAAGCGCTCGGATTGGGACGAATGGCTAGCCGTTTCGCTGGCTTGAGTACCAAACACGTACGCGCGGGCCGGGAGCGGAGACCGTTGACCTCTGAGCCCAAGCTTCCGACGCACGGCAGCTCGCTCTGGTGGTCGGAGTGGCCTTCCATGACCCCTAGGCGTAAGCCTGACCGTCGGTGCCCCCATCGGAGGTGGTTCTGGCGTCGACCAAACTCCACCGCGCGGGCCTCGTCTCCGCGGGGCTGCCGCGGCCGCCGCGTACAAGTCCGTGCCAGCGAAGCGCGTCACAATCGATGGCGTTGGATACGCCCCTTGGTTTTGGGCGCGACGTGGGTGTGACGGCTGGGGTAGGCCATTTACGTCGGGTAAGATGTACCACCCCGCTCCGCACGCAGGGGTGCCGCCGACGCCACCGGCGGTGCAAACCCCCCCCTAGTAAACCCCTGTTTTCTGCTGCGACAGGGGGGAAGGGGGGAGCCGGCCTCCTGCGGCGCAGAGATCACGCGTCGCCTGGCGCGTCGGCTCGGGCGAGCGGTCTTGAGCAATTCCTCGAAGGCGCTTCAGGGAGGGTCCTTCTGGGGCATGTCCGGTGAAGAAGACCTTGTCGTACGCGAACTCGACGTATACCTCGCAGACAGCAAGCCCGCAAATGATGGGCCCGGGCTGGTGCTGTTGCAGTATCCTGTGCGGAGCAAGGCGCGTGGCGAGGAGGCGTTCACGGTCGCACGGCTGCGGCCCAAGAACCAAATGCTCGAACTAGGAGTGCCCGCAGTCGATGCGGGGCCTCACTATGATGCGGAAGCGCCGGATCGGATGCAGCTCTACACGCGGAAGCTCGCATCATCGCGCGTGAGGCCCGCGACAAATTACGCCGTCGGAACTCTCGACGGTGGCGCGCTGTACCTGGCCCCGCTTCGCACGACGTACCAAATGCGCCCGTCCTTCGCCTACGTCGATGCCGACACCGACGATGCCCACGTCGACGACCGCGGCCAGTCCGCGACCGCACCTGCGCCGAAGCTCCAGGCCGTGTCGATCAAGCGTGCCCCGACGAGTCGCGAAGTTGCCATCCAGCGCACGTCCTACGCTTTCAAGCGGCAGGAGCAGGACG